AAAAAAAAAAAAAAAAAAAAACTAGAGTCGGAGTCACGTGGAAGGCTCCGCTGGACCACAGTGCGACATGTGTACTCTTGAAAGGTTCGGCGGAACTCTTTCTCTTTTCGCCGCGAACTCTCGGCAAATGAATGGTGAGGGACCGGCTGAAACAACGGCAAACGCGACGGCTGTTTCTGCTAGGCGCTTGAGCTGACGAGCTTTGACGGCGGCATAGAAGCGTTGAAAATGCAATGATGATGGGCCACCCGGGGTGTCGTCACCGCCGTCATCGAAGCTTCCGGCGCCGCTCTAGCCTCTTCGACTCCGGAGTCCGAGGAGTCAGCCGCCTTCAGAATTCTCTCCGGATGCAGCCACAGACACAAGTCTTCTGAAGACTCTCTAGCCTCTGGGACTAGTAGCTCCAGAATGCAACGTAGAATTTCTGCTGGATCGAGAACCTGAAAGAGGTCCGTCCTCAGGCTCTCCTAGCTGCACTGCATTGCAGTGGTCTTCCGAAAGCCTGTTGGGAAAGGGGGGCCGCAATAATGTTGCAAGAAAGTGGCCGTCTCTCCCAGGTTGAGAAGCTGGAATGCAGTGGGAAAGTTCATGTTTAGGCGTCGCAGGGGATTTGAGCATTCCTTTTGATTTTGTGCGAACGTATTCCCATGTCGCGACTGCGGATACAGACTGCTGTGTTGTCTATCCCATTCATTCTCATACCACTTTAGAAAGCAAACGTAGAATGGGACACTGTTCATGCGAACCAAACCTGAAACGACCAGCTCACTAGTGCAGCTTTAAGACCCCAATTTAACCTCCTAAGATTGTCAGACAAAATTTTGAATCAAAGCGACCCAGAGATACGTACAGCACCCAATTGTAGAGAGATCCCTCTGGTCACGCATCTTGGTCAGCTCAAACATTGGCGTCATATCTTACATCAAGTTAGTTTAGACGTGACAGAAGCTGGAAGTTGTGCTGCAGCTTGCTTCAAAGCCTCAGGTTCAAGCAGGTCGAGTGTCGCTTGACCATTAAGGCCGTTCTAGTCTAGTCTCTTGAGACCAGGTTGTGAGCCTTGAACCTCCGTTCGCTTTGAAACGACTCCAGCAAGCCCCAGACAAACCTACTCATAAGGGTTGACAGCTGTCAACCATTTTGACAGCAAAATGGTGGCCATGATTCCGTCCGGGCTCTTCACCATCCTGCGTCGCGTGCGCTCTGACCCGCGCACGCCGGAGCACACGTACCGCACGTTCCTCTTCGGCAAGATCGTGATGTACATGGACACATACCGCGACGAGCTGGGGACGAAATGGCCCGCATTTGCGGAGGAGCTCAGCATCCGGCTCGAGCCCTTCGTTTCTTCCTCAGCATCGGACGTGTCCACAAAGGATATCAACAATGCCGCTGACGCGATCATCGACCAGTGGAGAGCGTGCCCTGACCTGAGCGAGCAGATTGTAAAGTTGTTGCGGGTGATCGACGAGCTGCTGCCAAACTTGTCGCTGCCCAACGATTGGCGGGTGAAGCAGGACCTGTTGACAAACTTCCACCGGATGAATGACTGGCTCAAGAAGGACGAAGCGGACCGGGAGATGATGTCATTGGACAGCAGGAGCAGCTCGGGAAGCAGCGCGGGGACGAGCATGGGCAGCAATGGAGGTGAGGGCAATGATTGCTGAAGAATGCTAATGTCCTTTTCAGACAAAGTTCTCATCAGCGCATGAAGGGTACAAAGTTGGCAGGTGCGAGACTTAAGATGGCACATTCAGATCACTATCACGCCTGGTAGAAGGTGCGAGGAAAGAGCAACGAGTGCGAAAGCAGGTTTTGGTTGGTTTACAACCTTTTTCTTCATTCTTTCAGGATTAGTATCTTTCAGTATCTGCCAGAAACGCTTCTTTCTCAGTCTTCAGAAAAGGACGCTTGTGCCAATCAGCCAGTCAGCGCAAAACTGCACCTCAAATTCTGGCAGGATCTAAAATTCAGAAGTAAAGCCGTCCCATCGGTTTCCTCCGCAGAACAGAACATGGTCCAATGCTCACCAACTTTGTGCCCCCCTTTCGCAGATCCGCAACAGGGCTTCATGGAGGTGCCTGTGTGGTTCGCCACGTGTCGCCGCCCTACTGGCCGCCAGTCGACCGAGGCCTTCTTTGGCACCGACAGGGGGGACGGACTTTCGCTTGGATGCATCAAGGTGTCAATTCCCGACACCGACAGCGTTGCGCAGAACCGGCAGGAGCTGCCATACCTTTGGTGGTGGGACAGGTGGGTTTCCGCTTTTTGTTGAGTCTTTCGTTTCAACTTACTTTCGTTTTCCTTTGCAAAGCACTTTGTGTAAGAGGTCTCTGCTGGGACATGTGGGCTCTCTCCTTTTTGTGGAATCTTTCGTTTTCATCCTACTTTCCTTTTACCTCTTCAAAGCATGTTGTTAGCGGTCTCCGCAGCTGAGGCCAGCAAAAATGATCACTGAGTCTGTTTGGCTTTGACGAAGCGCATTTGACGTTTCTAAGGACAGGTGGCGCATGTACAATCAGGCGCTGATTTGCTGGTTGCAATCAGCCCGCAGTCGCCCGGGATGCGCTGCAGCAGAGACAGAAATTCCTTCAACGTGTAAGAGCACTTTTTAAAAACACGTATCAAAGTCTACAGCCAGCTTGCTGCAATGACTTTTCAAGATTTCACAAGGTATCTCAGAACGCAAGCACGGCTATGAACGGAGCGCTTCTTCAAGATTTCACAAGGTATCTGAGAACGCAAGCACGGCTATGAACGGAGCGCTTTAGGATTCTGGTCATTTTGCCTTGTCCGATTCCATCTAGCAGATTTCATTATTGTAACACGACACTGCTTTCCTCTTTTTTTGTATATCCTAAGACGTTCCTGGTGTCTCCCACGGTGCCTCAGGTCCTCGGGCTTCAAACCTGACACCACGCCCTCTTGCAGGTTCCGCCCCCCCAACCAGAGCCGCAAGGCAGTCTTGATCGGCAAGTGCGTCGGCTTCAGCGACAATTTCATGCGGTACCATGCAATCCGGTTCATGCACCGGGTGGGTACCGGCCGGAAAGAAGCGGTCCTGTACGTCCACGGGTTCAACAACCGCTTCACGAAAGCGGCCAAGAAGATGGCGCTCTGCGGCTACAAGATGCAGACGGACATCCCGCTCCTCATGTTCAGCTGGCCGTCCTTCCAGGTGCGCTCTCCCGCTTCTCTCCTCGCCCTGGTTGCCCCGTAACGCGAACTGGCTCCTGTTCTTTTGAACTATGTAGCGTTGCCGCTCCTCCTATTCAGCTGGTTGTCCTTCCCAATGCGCTCTCCGCTTCTCTTCTCGCTCTAGTTGCCCGGTGCTTGAGACGGAGTGTAGGTCAGCTCTTGCGCGTTTCAGAATTTTTGTTCTTCCTTCGCCCTTCCTCTTCAACTAGCCGTTGTTTCAGAACGCCTTTCTGTCCTCGCTCTAGTGGCGCGGTACCTCTGCTTTCTATTTTTTTGGAAATGTATTCTGTTGCTTTTATTGTACTTCCAGGTCTCTCCCCGCTCTAGTTCGTCGGTGCTCGGGGCGAAACATTATTCGAGATCCTTCGACTCGATTTCGCAATCTAGTAACTGGTTTGCCACATCTTCAGCTTCTTCTGGCCGTTCTTCTACTTGCGCGGCCTATTTTTCCCCCCGCTCTTGCTACCTCTGTAGAAGTCGTCTTCCCAGTGGGCTCTGTTTTCTACCCACTCGTCCCGTCTTCAACGGTTGATAACATTTGATACACTCGATTTCACGAACCCAGGCCTTTTGCGGCAGTACTGATATTCGCTGGATACTCGGCCTAACACATGCTGGCAAGGCCGATTGCTTTCTCGACGTTGGCGTCAGCTTCATGCGAATTGACGTCAGCAGCCAAAGTCATGACGTCATCGTCCCTCTGCAGGCGGTCGACCGGTACAACGCGGACGAGGGGAACGCTATGTGGGCGGTGCCGCACCTGCTCGACTTCCTGTGGAAGATGCTGACCGATTTTGAGATGGAAAAGGTGCACATCATTGGACATAGGTGAGGCGATTAAACTAGGGGTTGGGGGTTGAGGGTTGGGGGCGAGGGCCAAGGGGTCAAGGGTTGAGCTTTTAAGCTTCGTTGAATCTCACGGTTTCAAATTGCCGGTTGCGACATGAATGCTGTGGAGGATGCTGACCGAACCTGAAGTGAAGACGGTCCACCTTCTTGGCCACAGGCGGGGGGGAGAGGTTCTCTAGAATCTGGAATCCGGTCGAAAGGCCCGTGTTTCTGTTTCTCCCGGGCCCAGACCTCATCTGTTTTTCCAAACGTCGCTGAAAACTGAACCGGACGCTGCCGCTTCCGCACTGGTCAGCCTCATTTTTCTGCACACGCTGGTGCGGCTCGACGAGCACATACCTTCAGAAGACAGAATCTGGTCCGACTAACTCGAACCTTGCGACGAAAATGTAACAGACAGAGCAAATCCAGATTGTGTCTCCAAAAGCCGCCACGAACGTTCATTCTGGACTTTATCTATCTCGCAGTATGGGCTGCCGCGTCATTCTGTATGCGCTCGCGCGGTTGGGCGAGCGGCTGTATCTCCAAACCCAGAGACTGGTCGGAAAGTTTTGAAGCTAGAACAGCAAAGGAAGCTAATTGAAAGCGGATTCAAGTTGTGTCTCAAGAATTCGATCAGAACCCTGAGTCTGGACGTTTCCTATTTCACAGCATGGGCTGCCGCATCATTCTGTACGCTCTGGCGCGGCTGGGCGAGCGGCTGTTTCCCAAGGGCGCGGCCCAGCTGGGCCGCGTGGTGCTGGCCGCCCCCGACTTCGACCTGGGCGAGTTCTACCTCCTCCAGGACCACCTCAGCAGGACGGTGAGCGAGTTGGGCACCGAGCTACTAGCCGTGAGGTGTGAGCAATTTAGGCGCCACCAATACTTACTTCTCAATAGAGCCGTTTTGGCGTCACTCTACTTGCTTTTCCGCAAGACGAGCTAGCGGTTTGTGTGCCGCGCTTGTCTGTTTCTCTGTAGTGCCGTGCAAGCAATCTGGGCGTTATAAAAGTTGCTCTTCCAAAAAAAAAGTGCGCGATCGGGCCGCCAAACCGTTCCTCTCTTGACAATTCAGCAAGCGGTCTTGGCGCCAGTCTATTATTCGATTGAGTGATTGTATCATTTAAGGCTCTCGCGTATCTTCTAACAACTAATCTGCGAGTGTGAAGCATACACACTTCAGGTGATGAAGGTCAGTTGCGCATCAGCAGGGTCACTTTGAATTTCAAAGTACCTGATGATCGAAAGCTCTCCAGGAGTACTCCTTCTCATGGATCAGTTGGTCTGTTGTCGCTCGATCGCCATTGATTGTGTCGGCGGCCTCACACCGCCCAGGTTCATCAGAATGCCTGCTCGATGCTGACGAAGACATGTGACATCTCATTTCGCAGTACGTGCTCCTGCTTCAGAATTGCTCATGACGGCGCGTTGTTCATCTTCAGGTGGAACACATGACGATCTACTCCTCGGCCAACGACCAAGCGCTCCACGTGTCCAAGCGCATCCACGGCGGGCACCCGCGCCTCGGCGAGTTCCCGAGCAACGCCGGGGTGCGCCCGTGGCACATCCCGTTCGCCGACAACATCGACCTCGTCGACGCGACCGGGCTCGATCGGAGCGTCATCGGGCACGGCTACGTTTTTTCGCACGCGGGCGTTTTGCAGGACGCGTGCGACTTTCTGCGGACCGGGCACCCAGCGGAGAAGCGTGCCGCTGTGAAGCTGACGTCATTGCCGGGCGGGTTTAGGTACTACACGTTCCAGGGGATCTCGGAAGCGCCGTCAGCAATCGAGGAGGCGATTGAGGAAATGGACGATTTGGATACGGAAAGCGTGTAGCGCCCGTTAACCGCACCGGGTTTGCGAAGGAGTTGTGTACCATACCATCACTTGAACAAGGGCAGAATGGCGAGATGCTCTTAGATAAACACGGTAGAAATTGAAACCCCTACACATGGGGTTATAGGTGAACCCGCATCGAGGTTCTCGGCTGAGGGCCGCTGATGATGTGGAAAGCGGCCGCAAACTTTGATGCGACCTTTGAACCGCTGGGCATATAGTGTAAGATACTAGGGTAAACAGACAGGAGCAGCGGGCATTGTCTCGAAACTGTTGTTGGTTAGTTTGTCATTGCTTGTGGCGATGGCTTTAGACGCGCTAGTAGCTTTGATTTGGTTTTGCTGGTGGCCGCAAACGACTTTGGCTTTCTCCTTGTAGCGTGTGCTAGAATTAAAAGTGCATAGAGATCGACGACTGTGCCGACAGAGCGACTGTTGGCATGTGAAGCTTCTTGGTCGGATCCTACTTAAGACGGACTTGGTCCTATCAGTGGAAAAAGGAAAGCGAGCCTCACACAAACACATGTACACATTCAAGTGCCATTGAGAACCTCATGCCAAACAAAGTTCACGTACGAGCATGGTTGATATCGTGATTGTGCCTGCAACCAGCAACGAACTGGTGGCAAAAACTTAGGGACTCTGCAAACATTGACTCTTACAAGTAGCCGCCGGGTTCAAATCCTAGCTGCGATCGACCCCTTTGCACGAATTCTCTCTCGATCAGCGATATGCTGCTGACTTTCCGAGTAGCCTGCGGACAGTAAAGATTCAGAATTGCTACAGCACAACGGCCTCGACTGTCAAAAACCTTTCAGCAAGCAGCTTCGTTGCCGCATGCAGTCAATGCGGGGTCAATGCAGTGAGGCATGCAGTACATGTGCTTTCATGTCGCTTACCCAGTCCGCAGTGCTCCGCACGCTTGCAAATGGTACCATGCAGGTAGCCCGACGCCAGTACGTACCGTCGGCTGCATATACCTAGATACCATGGACAAGTACCCGGTAGGCGTCCCCTGGGGGGCCGAGAACGTATGTTCGGCTGCATCCAGACCAAAGTGGCCAGTGAACACCAAGAGGCTGGATGTACCGGTAAATAGTAGGTACCTACCTCATGTGGAAGCTTTGAAAAGGTAGGTACCTACCTGAGTACGGTACGGTGTACCGACGGTACTCTTCGCCTTGAAAGTTGAAGGTCCGCATGGTACGAACCTTAGGGCCTCTCGGTACGTACTGCTGCGCGCTGCCGGCTGGAAGAACTCGGGTACCGGATAGACCCGGTACGTACCACCTCTGTCCACATGCGTGGCATTCGAAATCGCAGGAGGAAGCTTCAAGTTGGAAACAGCCCCCGAAAAACGTAGCGCTCTCACTTGGAGCGCCCGAGAGCGTTACACACGGGTGGTAAGTGACAAATCAAGGGAGCGCGGGCATGGGGTTTCGCCACTTCGCTTTTGAAAACCTCGCAAGCGTCAAAACGCTGAAACAGAGCGGGCTGAAGTTCTGCGCGCCTGGAACGGAGTGTACGAAACCTGTGCAACGTCTTCCCCAAATCTCCTGCAAGCCTGAGATTCTGGCTGGAGTGTGTGCTCAATCATTCTGGTGCATGGTGTGTCTTGCCTCCTGGAACTGGAACTTGCAAGTGCTGTCCCCAGGTTTGGGGGTCTGACTGTGAGGTCAGCAGGTTGAAAGACCCAAGGTGCTTCAATTCTTGATCTGATCATATGCTGCCCCAACAAGGACCCAGGCAATGGCCACATCTTGGACCAGGGCAGATCCAGCAGCTGCAAGAGGTTAGTCATTGCGGCCCGCCTGCAAAGGGTGCTTCGCCTCGTTCTGAACCGAAGCTGTTCCTGTCGGTTAAGTTCTCTTTGGACTCTCCTTCTGCCCTGGGCTTTGAGATGACCATCTTCTGTAAGCTGAGTAGAGACGCTGATCATCTTGCATTCAAAGAGGAGCAAGCAGGTCTTGTTCTGGTTGCCTGCATGGAGCCTCCTCTGACCTGTCCTTTGCTACAAGCACTTATCTATCCCTTTTTGGTGCACAGTACATCTTGGCCCTCAAGGCTGCCGGCCGTCAAGACGACCCCAAGTTCAAAACTGCCCTTGAGCTGCTGCATGCTCAGCAGCGGCTACCAGCAGCCAGCGCTGCGCAGGGTCAGGGGGCAGGCAGCGGCACGCCCCCATCTTACAATGTAGCCGAAGCAGGCTCCCCCCTGGGGGCTGCCCCTTTGCAGTCTGTAGGGGGGAGGGGGGAGGGGGCGCAACTTGGTAATGGTCCGTCTCGGTTGGCGGCATCACCAGAGCGGCGGGAGTACGTTCAGGGGTACGATGCCGCTTTGCAGCAGCGGCAGAATGTTGCGGCCAATCAGCAAATGATAGAGGCCTTGCGCCGGAGGGCTGCGCAGGTTGCTCAGAACCCTGCACAAGGCCAGTTTCCCGGCTTGGGTCAGCAGGGCATGAGTCAGCAAAGGCTGGGGCAGCAGTTGATGCGGCAGAGCCAGGGCCAGTTGCCTGGTGATGGATACGGCTTCGGGGCGGCGAAGGTTTGGGGCCAGGGCGGAGCGGACTTAGACCAGCAGTCTCTGCGGAAGCTTGAGCAGCAAGAGGCCGCTAGAAAGATGCTTCTCCAGCAGAAGCAAGGGGAGGAGCAGGGTGGCAGCAACACGCACCTCGTGTCGCAGTTCCAGAAGCTGCTCGCTGAGAAGCAGCAGAAGATGCAAATGCAAAACCAGCACGCGTACAACGTCCAGCGGGAGCTCGAGCAACGGCAGGCGCAGCGCTATGAGTCCCAGAAGATGGAGCAGATGCTGAAGCAGCAGCTCCAGGAGCAGGCGCGGCATTTTGGGGGGCCGCCGGCGCAGCCGCCGTTCAAGCCGACTCCCGTGGGGCCTCTCAGCACCACTGCACTGCAGCAGGCGCTGAAGGCTAGACCGGCACCTCTGGTCGCTGTCAAAGTGGAGGCGCGGAATCCGGTGCCTGTTCCGCCTGTCAGCAGTCGACCCGCCACTCCGCCAGGGGCCCCAGACGAGCAGCACCCCAGCAAGAAGTTCACTAAGGGACAGCTGGACACGCTGAAGGCGCAGATCCTGGCGTTCCGCCGCTTCAAGGTACGGCAGTAGGGAACCCTAAAATCGATTCTAGGTCGAAACAGGCTTGCTCAAGAAGGAGAGTGGTCGTGATGATGGGGAGGAACGTTTTTTCAGGCATATGCAGGAACGGTTTGATGCTGAATAATCACGCCTTGTTTAGCAATCGCTCCTTTCGCTGCATTGTGTTGACCTTAAGAAGTGTTATTCTGGCTCAGATGCATCTTTCAATTCAATTCAATTCAATTCAATCGATGGCAGCCTTCCAATCATTGCTGGCCGGATGAGACTGCTGGTAAAACGAGTCAGTTGAGTAGTGTACTCAACTACCTGTTTTACCGCGTGCAATTGTACTGCGGAGTTGTTGCTGTGTCTCTTGCTGGCCTGACCCCGCTCGACTCTCTTGCAGAAAGGAGAGAAAACACTGCCCCCCGACCTGCTCAAGGCCATCGCCCCTCCCCCCCTTGGCCTAGTTCCCAGCACTCATGCGAATCTGCAGGTGCCAAAGACATCCAAACCTGTCCCTCCAATCGCCACGTTCAGCAGCACCCCAGCTGCTAAGAAGAAACCCACCCCAACTCCAGCCCCCAAGCCAACCCCTCAACCCCAGCCGAAGCAGACTACGAAAACGCCCGTGGCACAACCGACACCAAAGTCGAAACCGGCCCCCGTAGTCCCTCCCATCCAGCGACTCCCCCCCGTCCGTCGCTTCCAGGGACCACTCTTCGACTTCCCCCGAGCGGGGGTCAAGAAAGACGAGGGGTTGCCGTTAGTACCCCCCCCTGACGCCGGTCATTGGGGCAGCACGATCCCCATCTCATTTGACATCCGAGACCTTTTGGCGGAGGAGGAGAAGAGGAGGCTGGACAAAAGGCGCACGGAGCATTTGGAGGCGCTCGAAAGCCGGTTGCGGAAGATCGAGGGCGGTGAGCTGGCGGTGACGCCGGAAGAGCGCACGAGGGTGAAGGTCGCGCTCAAGAAGCTGCAGCTGCTGGAGGTGCAGGGCAGGGTCAGGGACGAAGTGGAGGAGGCGCAGCAGGCGGTGAGTGATACGAGTGATTCGAAATTCCTTCTTGTGCAGGCGCGGCTGGATCTAGGTTTACAACTTTCCGAGTAGCTTAGGTGGCTTGATTAGTCACCGGTTGCCAAAATGTGTGACCGCTGTTGCACGGAGAGGTTCTCAAAGGTCAGGTATCGAGCTGGCGCCGGGGTGAGATTGTATTCGTCATCCAGACAAGCATCATTCGTCGGGTTTTGTGTTGCTCTTTTCACTGATTGTTATTGTACCCTTCTGAGTTTCTGTGACGCTGTTGGCTATGCATTTCGGTTGGTGCATGCTACTTATAAGAATGGCTCCCTTCGCCCAGATCAATGCCATGAACGAGCGGCAGTACCGAAAGTATGTGCGGTGGAGCGAGAAGGAGCTGCTGGACATGGAGAAGCAGGTGCTCTGGCTGCAGCAAGCCAAGCGGGCGATCCTGCATAAGGTACGCACTTGGGAGAAAATCCTTTGATGGTTTTTGAATTCTAGCGAAAGAACCGTGCCGAAAGAACGTCTCCTGGCTATGGCATCCGAAAGTGCCTTCGACCCCCCTACAGTGCTCCCTCCTTACACGTCAATTGGGCAGCTCGTCTCTTAAAAAACAGCTCTCTATGAACCTACAATTTGCGATAGACTTTTCTTACATTGTAGCGCATGGATTTGGTGTCCTTTGTTTTTTGAAAGCTTGTCAGAGCACTTTCTGCTGAGCCCTTTTGAAAGCATAAGTCTGGACGCTTGGTGCCCTATTGTGGTCAAACAAGGCCCTGGAAAACAGATGTTTGACGACTTGCGCTGTCTCCCCAACAGGCCCTGTTCAAGCACCGCAAGAGCCTGTTTGAGGGCTTCTGGCAGAGCCGCGAGGGGCGTGTGTCGCGAAATAAGGGTGTGGCCAAGTACCACGAGAAGATGAACAAGGACTTTGCCAAGAAGAAGGATGAGGATCGCACACGGCGCATGGAGGCGCTGAAAGCGAACGACGTCGACCAGTACCGCAAGCTGCTGGAGGAGCAGAAAGACAGGGAGCTTCCGGGGGATGCCAACGAGCGCTTTGCAGTGAGTTATGCTTGTACACTCTATTTCATTCCGAATTGGGGTGGCTCCTAACATCTGTCGTTTCTTTGGGATACTCAATAAGAGTCTGATTGGAAGATTAACTTCACGGGTTTCAAAGCACGGTTTTTGATTGGTCGTCATCCAAAAGGACGCGCGAATGTGTCAAAAGCGGACAAAGCGCGTCGGATGATCTGATTCCGAGGTTACCCAGTCGGAGCGTTGGAAAATTGTCACTGTTTTCCACATGGTTCATGTCCTGAGTACACAGTCAGAGACTGCTTCGGGAGACACCTTTGGCGAAGTTCAAAGGGCAGCCAGGAACAGGCTCGTATCGCTCTCCAAAATTGTTCTGTTGACGATCTGTTTCTCAAGGTCCCTTTCGTGTATCGTCTTTGCAGGCCCTCTCCGACTTCCTGTCCCAAACAGAGGAGTACCTCCACAAGCTGGGGGGCAAGGTTTCCTCCGTAAAAGCGCAGCAAGAACGCGAAGAGGCCGTTCTAGCTGCAATCAACGAGGCGCGAGCACAAGGCGCTGCTGAAGAGGACGCCCTCGAAGCAGGCCGGCGGGCGGCCGACGAGTTTGCAGCACAGTCGCAGGAGTCTGGGGACCTCGGGACCGGGAGCGCAGCTGTGAATAAGTGAGTACCGCATTTCAAGTCCTGATCTCCGACCTTGGGAATCGGTTGCTGCGTCGCTTTCAAAAGATCAATGGTGCCGATAGTTGCCGACTTCAATACCCATTCTTCTGCATTGCTTCACAGGAATTAATCTGATGGTTGTCAAACCTCGAGTGCAAATTGGGCACCATTCGATGATCGTGTCCGCTTCAGCCAACGGCCCAAATCATGCGGTCAGCCAAGATCATTTTCGGATGGTCCGGCCCCGTTTTGGACGGGTCTGGCTTGAAAGCACTCCGTCGGATCTCAGTGTTCGTGTCTCACAGAACTTCCAGCCCAAATACTGTCAATGTGCGATCTGAATCAGGGCTTTGCCTCCTTTTTCAGGTACTACAGCCTGGCCCATACGGTCAACGAGCAGATCCTGCGGCAGCCATCGATGCTGCGCGCTGGGACGCTACGCGAGTACCAGATGGTTGGGCTACAGTGGATGATCTCGCTGTACAATAACAAGCTGAACGGCATCCTGGCCGACGAGATGGGGCTCGGGAAAACGGTCCAGGTCATGGCGCTGATTGCATACCTTATGGAGTTCAAGAGCAATAAGGGGCCGCATCTGATCATCGTGCCCAACGCGGTGATGGTCAACTGGAAGGTAAAGAGTCGACAAGGCTTTACGTGTGGTTGGGTGTGCATCTTTGAAGAGTAGAAGCTGGCCGTGTTTTGCGTAAGACTGCAGCCTGTTACTCAGCAACCGGGATTGCCAACTCGCAGTTAGAACTTGGTCGGGAGAAGTCGTTTCTGTGTTTGAGCAGACCTGTTGTACCACAATTTTAAACGTTTGTAACTTGCTTGCACCTGTCATATTTTGCAGCCAATTTCTCAGATTCTGCGTCTTGTTCCTCTTGACACTCGTTGTCTTTGCTTCCCACAGAGCGAGTTTGTGCGATGGCTCCCAACCGTGAGCGTCGTGCTCTACGTTGGGACCAAGGAGCAGCGCACGCGCATCTTCACCCAGGACGTCATGTCGCTCAAGTTCAACGTCCTAGTAACCACCTACGAGTTCATCATGCGGGATCGCTCCAAGCTCTCCAAGGTCAGGCACTTTGCACTTTCCAACTGAGTTACCAATCCAAACTATTTTCACCAGGCGTTCTCGTCTCTTTTCAGGGTTCCTGGTATTGAAGCAGTGTGTGTCGGAGCTCCTTGGAGAGCCTTTGTAGCAAAGGACCATTCGAGCCGTCCAGTTGCAAAGGCCTGGGTATGGGTCGTTATGAACAACGCAAACACTGTTCCTGCCAATTTTAAAAGCCGCTTTTGCTTGCAGGTCGCCTGGAAATACATCATCATCGATGAGGCGCAGCGCATGAAGGACCGCGAGTCCAAGCTGTCGCGGGACCTGGACCGATTCGTGTGTCAGCGACGGTTGCTGCTCACAGGAACCCCCCTCCAGGTCAGTCTGCCCTCTTTTTGAGATAACGAGTACCTTTTTGGGTTGGATGCATTGGGCACGATCTGCTGCAGGGTTCCTGGGAGGCTACTGAGTTCGCTGCCAGCGAAGTTCTCGCTCATGAAACGCTGCGAATCGTTTATGCTCGTTTCAGAGGTTGTGTTTTTGAGAACCTGGATTGAGTCTTTTTGAGAGAAACTTTCACTCCTCTTAGGCGCGCTTTTGACGTTCTGCCCGCTTCCTGCCTCCAAACGTCACACCCTTCTACGCTTCAACCTGACAAAGCGTTTCTGACGAACGTTAATTCTCTTTCGGTGACAAAAACTTTCGTTCGACCACCTCTGGCAAATTATGGGTTCACACAAGTTGGTACTCGATCCGTGATTCTTCCCTTCCACTGACCTGTCTTGGTTCCTCCACCATCCAGAACGACCTGAACGAGCTGTGGGCGCTGCTGAACCTGCTCCTCCCGGACGTGTTTGACAACAGCCGCCAGTTCCACGAGTGGTTCCACTCCCCGTTCGCGCAGCAAAAGGACGGCGCGGCGAAAGCCGACGAGGAGGACTGGCTCGAGACCGAGAAGAAGATCATCGTCATCAATAGGCTGCACCAGATTCTGGAACCCTTCATGCTGAGGTACGGGGCCTGAGCTTTTGTGACATGGATTCTGCATTGCGCTTCTTCGGCTCCTGAGCGCTTCGGATTGCTGCAGCGGTGATTGTTCAGTTGTGTCTTCTTGCTTGTACGTCACCTTCCCGACCCTACTACGGCCTGATTGGACCGTCTCCGATCTGGATTTGGAAGGAGCTCTGGAGGACAATACGAATTCAGGGCCTGAGTCGTCCACCTATCAACATGTTTGTTGACCATCTGCTGACGTCACGCAGGCGTCGCGTGGAGGACGTGGAGGGCAGCCTGCCCCCCAAGGTGTCGATGGTCCTCAAGTGCAAGAACTCGGCGTTCCAGGCCGCCGTCTACGACTGGATCAAGGCCACAGGAACGATCCGCTTGGATCCAGATGACGAGAGCATGCGGGTCGTCGGGACCACGCGCCAGACGAGGATATACGCTAATCTCAACAATAAGGTGGGTTTCTTGGGGGCCAAAACGAGCGAATGGGCCGAAAGAACTGTTTGAAATGGAAGCTCCTCAGGCATTGTGGGAAAGTCAGGACACTTGTCAAGGATCATCTTCGTCCAGGTTTGATTGTTTCGCCAGTCACAAGAAGGGATTGGTATCTACTATTTGAGAAGGACCAGGATCGGAGCTGCAACACGTGGTGCAGTCCCAAAGATAACCACTGCATAGGTTGAGCAGCTTGCAAGGAGCACAGCAGCACCAACTCATCATGACACTCGTGTCCTTGCAGGTGATGGAGCTGCGCAAGGTGTGCAACCACCCGTACCTGAACTACCCGCTCAAGACGATGGGCGTGACCGAGCACGTGGTGCGCTCGTGCGGCAAGCTGTACCTGCTGGACCGCATCCTGGTCAAGCTCAAGCGCACGGGTCACCGCGTGCTGCTCTTCTGCACCATGACGCGCCTGCTCGACATCGTCGAGGAATACTGCCGGGTAAGAAGTCATTCTGGCTTCAGCACTTTATTATCGTAGCATGGAGCAAGCGTTGTGCATCTTTGCAGATTGTGTAGCTTGGCGCCTGCTCGACAAAGTGGAGAAGAAGTGCTGTGTGAGAAGAGGTTGGCAGTCTAGGTCTGGCAGTGTCCGGGTCGTAGCGACTTCTGTTTGCCCTGTGCCGTAGGATCATGCAGGCTATCTGGGTTAGTGAAGAGCGACGGACGACTGCCCCTTGGCGCTGCCGCCCTTAAGCATGCTCACCTTTGCTTCTGCACCTACCATATAACTCTCCACAACAGTCATGCCATTCCTTTAATTGAGTGAAAGCATCATTTTTGACTCTCTCTTGTTCCTCCTGTCCAGTGGCGGCACTTCCAGTACCGCCGCATCGACGGGACCACCTCGCTCGACGACCGAGAAGACGCGATCGTGGACTTCAACCGGCCCGAGTCGGAGGTGTTCATCTTCCTACTCAGCATCAGGGCCGCGGGGAGGGGTCTCAATCTGCAGACGGCAGACACGGTGGTGGTCTACGACCCGGACCCGAACCCCAAGAACGAGGTACGACAAGACGGAAAACACAGGACTGTCGATTGAGCCTTGAATCTAGAACTTACGGTGTGACGAGCATGACTCGAATACGAAGCTTAAGATTTGTTTGTACTTTGGTCGCCCGTTGGGTGCAGTTGATTACAGCAAGAGACTGCTCCTGGACCACCAGCTTAAGTGCTCACAAAGTTTCTTCAGCGCTTTGAATCTAAAACTAGGTGTATACCAAGGCCGTCGTGTAGCGGAAGATGTCAATTGGCATCAATCATCAGGACGCTAAAGGATGGTCCTTGTCTGTTTGAGATAACACTCGTTGAAGCGCGAACTGAGAAGCGTGCTGAGATCGAACACCAGGTTCAAAACCCAAACCTTCAGCTAACTTTCTGAACAGGAACAAGCCGTGTCTCGAGCCCACCGCATCGGATAGACCAAGGAGGTGCGCGTGTTCTACATGGAGGCGGTTGCGCACGGCATCTTCATTTCATGAGGCCGATACAGAAGTTTAGTGTCAAATCACAAATCGGACTGACAGCATGCCGAGACTGGACACCAGATCCGAAAGCTTTCTTTTCGGAACAGGAACAAGCCGTGGCGCGTGCACACCGCATCGGGCAGACCAAGGAGGTGCGCGTCTTCTACATGGAGGCGGTCGCGGACGGCGTCCCGTTCTACGAGGCCGAGGACAAGCGGCGAGAGCGTGCGCAGCGGGAGGTGCAGCGGGAAGAAAGCGACGACGAGGACGATCGGCCGCAGTACGTCGGTTCGATTGAGACGCTGGTCCGGGAGCAGATTCAGCAGGTCAAGATTGACATGGCTGACGAGGTGGGTAGAGACTTGGTGTTTTGCTTGATTTGAAGACTGTGAGGTTGTGAGGATCCGGATCAGAAAGTGGCGAGGAAACCGATTGCCGCAGTATGTTGGGTTGATTGAGACGCTGGTCCGGGAGCAGATCCAGCAGGTCAAGATCGACATGGCTGATGAGGTGGGTGCGGTTCTCGTGCTTTACATATTTTCGGTTGGACTTTTGGGGAATCCGAGGATTTAGCTTTGTGAGCGGGCGGCAAGACATGAGAGTTGCGAGAAGAAAGATTGGGTGCAGAATGTCGGGGGGGGGTTGGTCCGATTGAAACGCTGCTTTGGGAGCAGATCCAGCAGGTCAGGAAACAGGACTGACGAGGTAAGCGGGGTCTCCGAAGTTTTTGAACCGTCTGGGTACGAAATTCTTACTCAACTAGGACATCAGTCTATCTAAAATGACACCTCGCAGAGGCTTATACGCGCAGGGGCAAGCTGCGTTGCTATTTATGGCCGGTATATGAAAGAATTGGTTGGCTCTCGGCAAACAAGTATTGCTTGTTTTGCCCAACTTCTCAGGAACAAAGCCTCGCTTTTTTGAGTTGTGCATCTGTTGCAGACAGTGGAGGGCTTGATCCAATCAAGAACCGGGCTGTTTCTACTTCGACCAACGTTGCTCTAAACGCGCGCACTTTCAATTGACCCAGGGTTTGTTTCTTATCAGGTGATTAACGCGGGGCGGTTCGACCAGCGCACGACGCAGGAGGAGCGGCGCATCACGCTGGAGGCGCTGCTACACGATGAGGACCGCTACCAGCGCGCGGTGCACGACGTGCCGTCCATGGAACAAATCAACCGCATGATTGCCAGGACGGACGACGAGGTCGTGCTGTTCGACAAGATGGACGAGGAGGAGGTGAGAACACTTTCCAATCTTTTGGATCTTTTGGTTGGAAGATAGGATTGAACGAAGAAGAGTGAAATTTGTTTCAATAACTCCCATTTCGGCTACCTCGCACTGACACGTGTCCTCCTTTGGAGCAAGAGATCCGCCACCAACGATACCGCTGTCCTGAAAAGAGGACAGCCTGGCCTTTTGTGGCCTTTTATACGGCCTTGTTGATCTCCTTCAGTCCTGCCTTGTCGTGTGTCTTTTCTCCCTGCCTGACAATTGTCCTTTTCCTCCCCCAGGAGTGGCCGCGGCCGCTTCTCTCCCGCGACGAGATCCCGGCGTGGCTCAAGTCGACGTCAGCGGACGTCGACCTCGCAATGAACGCCCGCAGCAAAGAAGCGATGAAGCGCGGCCTCAGCGAGAGCATCGCGCCGGCGGGGTCGGAGGTCGCGCTTGGGAGGGGGCACAGGCAGGCAAACAAGTAAGAAGTCGCTGCTCAATCCATTGATTTCTTCCATTCTCTGTTGGCCGGTTCTGCTCGTTGAGCGAGGTTGCCGACTCTTGAGATTTGAGTGACCATCTTGATGCAATTGGCATCGTAGGTCTGCTTGTCGCCTTCGTGTTCCTCTCTTCAAAAGCGTTTATTCGGGCATCTGGTAGTCTGCGCCATTCACCATTGTGAGGGTTTGAAACTGCTTCGGTTCCAGCTTTTGAAAGGCTTCCAGTGATTTTTCTACTTCCGCCAAGCGTCACAGAGAATTTTACTGTGCTGTTCGTGGTTACTCGTGGGTAGGTATTCAGCAATTCAACCAGCCGCCTACTTATCCTCTGCAGGCTGGCCGCCTTGACTGAGGAGGAGCCCTCCTCGCAAGCGCTCCCCCGAGACGACGAAGACGAAGAAGCGCTGTACGGAGAGGAAGAGGACACGTGGAAGAAGGCCGTCCCAGAGGACGAAGAGGAACCCTCGCTCAAGCGCCCGCCTACCGAAGAGGACGAACCAGAGCCATCGATCTCGATCCCGCCACCGATCAAAAAAGCCTTGCCAGACTCGGAGGACTTCGACGAGGTGCTAAAGGAAGCCCGGAGCTTTGCAGCGGTCGCGAAAACGGGGCCCGGCAAGCCGCCGCGGTTGGGGAAACGGTCTCCGGCGAATCGGAGTCGGAGTTCGCTCGGGAAGAAGAGCCCGGTTGTGAGCGTACCGGGCATGCGACGGGAAGATTTGGCTGGTGTCGAGAGCCCGGTTGGGAGCGAACCGGTCATCGGTGGGAAGGGGCTGTTTAAGGCCGGGAAATCGAGGTTGGGTTTGGAGCGGTTTCAGGAACGAGAGCCGGTCTCAGAACCGGAGGAAGGGGAGATCAAAGGGGAGGACTCGGCGGAAGAAGGGGAGCTTCGGAGGCGGGATCGGAATGGCGCCGTCGACGTCTCGGATGCGGGACCTTGGGGCGGGGACGTTGACCCCCCCGGAAAGGCCTTTGGAGGGAAGGGCTTCATGGGCGTGTTAACTGGGGGGGACAGTAGGGACGGGTTTGCTGCGGAGAATGCGGAACTGGAAGAGGGGGAGATAGAGGAAGGGGAGATTCCTGCAGAGGAGGAGGGGGGTTATGTTGGCGGAGAGCATTCTCGGCCGTCGGATGGGGACGAGCTGAAACGGAAGAAGAAGAAGCGGAGGCGAGAGGAGGGAGGGCATTCGAAGCACGGGGACGAGGGGGGGGCGCCGAAGAAGATCACGCTGAAGCTTCCGGGCAAGTTGCTTGCAAAGGTGGGCCCCCCGAAAGCGAACGGTTTGCGCTCGGAGAAGAGCGTAAAGCGGAGCCGGGTCTCGGACTACTCCGACATTCTCGGCTTAAAGCCGAAAGCGGAGCAAAAACCGGCTACTGCAATGGAACCCCTGGAAGCGAAGCCCCCGGCAGAGGCACAGCCGCCAAAAAGTAACGGGAAGTCGGCGCCAGATAGGGACGTTACGGCGAGAGTGATGCCGGACGACGTACGGAAGAAGTGCCGGGTGGTCTTGGAAAAGCTGCGCATGGCGAAGGACAAGGAGGGCCGGTTGGTCGCGGCGGCGTTGTTGGAGCTGCCGTTAGAGAAGGACGCTCCGGACTATTACCGGGTGGTTCGGACGCCAATCGATCTCGCGACGATCGAGTCGCGCCTGGCCGGGGACGGGTATCTAGGCGTGGCGGAGTTCGCGCGCGACGTGGACCTGATGCTGAGCAACGCGCAGCTGTATTACAAGAAGGGCAGCCAGGTGTTTTCGGACGCACGAAAGCTGCAGAAGCTGTTCTTCCAGCGGATGGAGGTGACGTTTCCGGACGCGAATCTGGACGTGGCGAGGGTCGGGGAGGCACTTCTGGGCGCTAGCGAGCGGCCAGGAGTGGGGCCCGGCCCCGAAAAGAAAACCCCTGCGCCTAGTTCCGACGAACGGAGAGTTCCGGCCCCAGGTCCCGACGAGTGGAAGGTCCCGGAACGGAAGATGCCGGCGCCTAGTCCCGGCGAGCGGAAAGTCCCCGCACCTAGTTCGAAACCGCTGGCAACGGACGCTGGCCAAACGAAGGGGCTGCGCACGTCATATGCTGGGAACTTCACTCAAGCGGGTCAGCCCATTCCAGGGGGGATCGGGAAGGTGCGAATTCGTGTACGGACTGGGGGGGGGCCGGCGCCAAAGGTCCAGGTTTTGCACACGGCGGCCGAGCAGCCGAAGCTTGTGGAAAGTACAGTGGGGCCTCCGAAGGTGGTGGACAGCGCACGGTTTCAAGGTGGGGGGGCCGCCAGGGTTCCGGAGAGGTTGCCGCGGTTTGGGGGGGAGGATGGCGGGCTGGTACACCCAGGTGATTTCCTGGTCGTGAAGAAGAAGAGGCGGAGCAAAGAGGATGGCGGAGGGGTGACGCCTCGTGAGGAGAGCGGCAATGCTAGGGCCGATGTGGTTCTGCCACCGAGCGAGAGTCTGCTTGGTTTTCGGCCTCCAAAGAAGATGAGATCAGAGCGCAGACCAACACATTGATCGTCCAAAGGTGTCTGTCTGTGCAAATTTGTGTAAGCTTGCTCGCATTTTGAGGCCGCCAAATGGTGGCCATTGCCTTTTCTGACGACGTCAGTTTGGCACAGCTCTTGGGAAGCTGAGCTACCTGCTTGGTTGTTACGAGTCAAAGAAACAATGGTCATATGCACGAGCTCCTGGGCCGCCAGCCCAGCTTTCAATCATCTCGTCCGGCAGGATATTGACTGTTAAAAGTGATTGGTGTCGAATGCAGAGCAACTTCCACGCAAGGCTTACGTGCATGAGGCACTGCGCCGAACCTAAAGATGAGATTGTTGACTGTAATCATGAGACAAGCTTATAAATGCTTCGCATGCTCGATATGTATATAGGTACATCATGTGCACTGTTGCTTTAAAAAGCAATGTGGATATATGGCATCAATCATTGGCATGTATACATAAGAAGTATATACATGGACTTGGCCGCGGTTGCGAGTCCATAGTGTGTGTTTGATATGTGCCGCCCGGTGCAGGCGGCCCGCTACTGAGTGACGATTGCGCATGCGTTGTATCTCGTTGGATCATTTTAGGATACTCGAATGCATAGCGCCTCCATTTGCCAGTTGGTGCATCGGACACAATCGAGAAGGATCCAATATTGCGGTCGGCTGGCACCTGGTATATACTGAGTCATCCCAAGTACGACAGCATGAGAAGGCATAATCACCAAGGCACGGTCGGATCAATTTAAGGCCGTTAATACGTACGACCAATGCTCGTTGCTAGCATTGCATCATTGGGCACGTATTCCTCATGCAACTAGCTATCCAATTGCATGCATCCACATACCAAAAGTAGGTAGCTGAGTCAAAAAATTCTGCATCGAATTCCATATGATCTAAGCAAACTGGTTGTCCATACGGCCGTGCGTGTTGATGTGCCTGCATGTACGGCCAGGCCAGATTTTGAGCACTAGGCTACCTGATCGTGGCATGCATGATTGTTGTACTTGGAGACGATGGGCGTTACATGGTTCATGATTCATGCTTCAGGTAGCAATCTAGCCAACGGGTCTATGATCGTCTTTAGCCTTGCATTGTCCTAGTGACAGTGACAGTGTCCTAGTGACGATGTCCCAGTCCAGAATGATTGGTTTCACTTCTTCTCGGCGAGTCTCATGGGCCTTGCTAGGCTAATGTAAGCTACGGCAGGTGCTGACGCATGGCAGCGCGCCTGAAGGCGGACTGTCCGACTGGACGGTGCGGGCAGTGATTTGTAGAAGAGCAAAGCATTGGTTTAATTGAATTGGTTGAGTAGAGCGTAACAACCCTATAAAAAGAGACTTTCAGCGGATCCCGCGGGCATCAGAGTCTCGCAGAGCCGCAGATCTAGCTAGCCATCTAGACCTATTTGGTGCATGTTTCTACATTCCATATTGAATTGCAAGTTTTGGAGTATCATAAGCATATGTAGGTACTTACTGATGGGAGAGAGAGTGAGAGATTTGGTATCTAAAGTTCTCTCATGATATCGAGCCTCTATGGTGAAAAATCTATTTAGACACTTGGTGCAATTGCATTTAAAACGACTTGCGGAGTCGAAGCTCCATCGGCACTGAAAGCAACGATGGTACTGACGTTCAAGTCGATTGCAAACAATAAACTTTCTTGTGAGATTGTAGAGTACGAGAACCCCACCGTTGAGATTCAGTACGAGAATTGTATCTCTTGACGGACTTGCACCCCTCTGGTGTTGCCTAGACTGAATCTGAGGAAAATGTCCGAACCACTTGAGAATTACCCGTTGAAAGACTCAAGCTAGCAGATCTGGCCACTTCGCTTTCTCAAAACACAAAAACACAAAGGCTTCATGTGACCAAGGAGAAGCGATGCACAATCGAACTCAAAGCCGTGATTGACCATGCGGCCCTCCTTTTACGTAAGGTATATATTCTTGGGGTAGTAGCAAATACTCCCGTCCGCATTACAGTCGCCAGCATCAGATATGGCATACCCTCTGGCTCCACGATACTTCCCGGTGCCACCCAGAATTGTCAACTCCGAGTACTGCAACGAAAGGGTCAACATTGGTTTGAAACAGCTTGATGGCTTTGCTAAGACGTAAGATCGTGCATTCCAAGAGGTAGTAAGGAAGGTATGAGAGTCTTCTTCTTGGCACACTAGATGACTTATTGCAATTAGTATTTCTTTGAGTACTTCCCTTCAAGGCCGTTTCATCGACACGTGTCAAAAACAAGGGCTATAATGCTGAAAGATTGTGACTAAGTAACCACTGCACTGTTCCTCAATGTCTTGGAGGCCTACGAGCTTCAACACCTACCGCCCTCTAAGCTTTTCACCTATGCGAAACCCCCAGCTCTTGGATCGGCAGGTAGTAACCAGAGTCACTCAACAGTCTGACCTAGTAGCTACCTTTCGCATCAAGAGACCCGCTCAACCACCGGTAGAGCAAAGGACATGCAATATTTCAAGCACAAAGTCCTCACCGAGTTCAAAAGAATTCCGTAGATATGGATGGAATCTGTGTTGCCGTCGTCTGAAGGCCCAAAAAAGTAGGTGGCGGGGCCAATCTCATAATAGTTGCCGGTGACTGGATCGTAGGGTTGCCAAACGGTGAGCTGAATGACGGCGCTCCCAACCACTTCCTTCTTCTCTGCGTCCATCAGGGGCACACTGCACCGCCGGCGTCAATTGAGCAGATGATTAATAAGGCTTTCATTTCTTGCTCGTTATGAGGCGTCATGTAACTTTATTACTTTCAGAAGCCTCGGCTAGTGGGACCTCATGCATTGAGAGACCGACTTTTACCACGAAAGGGGTTTTGCTTTGACAAAGGAGAAAGGTCATGAGGAAGAGGGCTTGAGGATGTTTGGTTGAAGAATGAGTTGGACAGCCTGAGGAGATTGTATGTAACTGAGCTTGAGCATGAGCTCAGGCATTGTCAAACTACTCCCTGACAGCGGATACAAGATTGATTTGACCAGAGAGCAACCAAACAATAGGAAGACTCTTACAATTAGAGAAGAATAGAGAAGGGCCGAGAAGACTAAGCTACATGGTTTTCACTCACTTCAGGAGGCAAACGTCCCCAAAATCAACACCTGCCCCCGGCGCAGCCTGCTGATTCTCACAGTTTGCGTAAGGTTTTGAGAGATCAAGGAGGACGTAGACTGACAAGTCTGGCACCTGTTGGTAAAAACGAAGTAAAAGGGGTTGGGGCGCACGGGCCTTTAGCATCCGACGTTGACAAGCCAGTGTGATTGTAGGCAAATGCAATTCAGCCTAGGGTGCCACACGTTAGATAACTGTGACACATTGACTGAAGATACCATTTCCAAATGCACAGCTGCCTCGGTGCATGAGTCAATCATGGGTAGTACCAGACAAGTAGAATAGGACGAGCTTGACTACAACAATGAAAATACTGAGGAAGTACCATAGAAGTTGGGGCATGGAAAGTAAGCTTTGGACTAGTTCGCCGCCATTCTAGAGGTCATCCCCTTCAATATCTGGGCATCATTGGCCAAGCTTATCATGGCCACAGTTTTTGCAGCAGAACTGAAGATCTTTCAAACCTTGCGGATGAGGCCAAGCAACGCTGCACCTTATGATTGGTTGGGAATGGTTCCAAAGAGGGTCTGGAGAAGGCTGTTGCAAACGATTTCGTGGCATGAGCTAGTTCCTTGTCTATTACATTCTGGGATATTTGAGCGGAGTCTGGCCCCTCTTAGACTCACTGGCTCAGCGGACGCGCAGGTTGCCACTGCTGCGCTGGGCCCACAACCAGCCGAGCAGCAAACAAAAGTGGTGCCATTGGCATTGTAACACGGGTTTGGGGTAGTACCAGGGCAGGTCTGACCTGCGCCCAGAGAACCAAAAAGCATGGTGTCAAGGCTTCTGAGTAAAAATGACTCTGAATACGTACCTAAGAACACCTTGAAGGTTGAGCATGACGTCCAAAACTGATGCATTTTCAGGCTGACTGCCAAATCGACAGCAGGGCCGGGTTCAAAGGTGTCTGGTTCTCAACCAAGGATTGAAGGTGTCCGGTCCTCAATAATGGGTCAAAGGTTTCTAGTGCTTCTCAGCCATGAACCAGTTTTCGGCCAGATACGTGACAGTGTCTTGACATTCTGAAGCTGATGAAGCTCACTAGTCTGCTCGGGAAGGGACCTGTTTGAGTGCAGGAGAAAACTGGCAAAAGATTGGGATTCCATAGGAACGGCATATCCCAGCTCGAAGAAAGGAAGCATTGCCATCTGAGTAACGCACTGCCTTCGCGTATATACATACCGCCTGGACCGTTCTCAGGCCATCTGGTAGGACGTACAAAGAATTGTTCAGTTCAAGGGGGCCCGCTGGCAACTTCCCATGACAAGTCGGCGCGAGTGGAAAGTCATCCAGTAACCGCGCGCTCAAGAATTGAACCTGGACGGGCGCTTTCACAAAAATTCTGATTAAAGTTTTGACTACCTGGAACTCAGGGCGAATAAGAAAGTGACCTCTTTCTGATACCTTTGAAAATAAGTGAATCGGTCACAGTTTCAGATGCATTTCTGTGATACCTCACCTTCAGCAAGTACCGCAAAGGTTGTGAGGAGCACCACCATGGCACCCGGCCGGATCACCGAGTTGAAGACCCTGGCCACCGCCATTCTTGTTGCCAGATTATAATTACTCGAATCCTAGAAGCGAAGGGCAGCTTGGAGAAGCTGCTGCGCGCAGTGCCTGGAAAGAAATCTGCACGAAAGGTCAAGATCCCAAATGAACTGTTAAGCGCCGCTTCAAACTCCTAGGTCCTAGAGCTCTCACAGGTTCAAGTTTCGTACTAGTAGGTATCCAATTTTGAATTAATGGAAGGGTTCTGGAGTCTGGACACCTACATGAGCCTTGCATCGCCCCGGCCGTGACTAGCTGCTGAGAGTCAAGACTCATTTTCGGGATTACAGTCATTACTGGCCTTTGCGTCAGATCTGAGGTCACCTTGAATGATGAATCCTTAAATGATGGAAGATCATGGAACTAATCTACGAGGTGGTACTAGAGTAGGTTCCGTCGTATCCAGACTCCAGAGCCGCACAAATTACAATGCAAGGCAAGCAGACTCCATAGATGCTCCGCGGAGGAAGGTAATATAGGTCAACTCTGCAGAGTCATAGGACGGTCACATCTAAGATTGCACACTGCGCGTGCGCAGCCTAGATTCCGTCCGCAGTCTGCCACTCGCGGCTACGTGACTAGTAACTACTACGGTTACCGGTAGTCTAGTACCTACTGCTACTGACCGAGTGACGTGGGCGGCGGGCCGAACAGCTTGTGCGCGGCCCCGAAGCCCCGGTCGCTGTTCGGAACCAACCTCCGGACTGCGACTTCGTCGGTACTGGTGCCCGGGTCGACTTCGGGCGTTTCCGGAAACCGGGCGAACTCGAAAATTCTGAGCTAATAATTTGCCCCGAATCTGATGACGTCACCCACAGACCTCCAGAATCCCGTACTCCAAGTTGAGTTTTGTTGACTCCGGAGCCCCGAACCCTGACCAGTGACGCAAAAGGGACAATCTACACTATTATATTAGTGTCTCCGGGCGATCTGTCAGAGTAAATACTCGCACAGGGCGTCAATCTGTGCAGGCATTGGTTAATGGTCTGACATGCTCTGACATGTGTCATAGTGATCTGTTTGCTTGGATGCGGGAATCCGGTCCTCTTTGACCGGGTACCGGCATGGTACCGAGCTACTTCCCGGGGAACTCT